CGAAAAGCATCTAATTGTCGGAAAAACATCTTAAATATTGAACAATAGACATGAATTACGTCTAAGAGACCAGTCACTGATTGCTTGTTTCAGAGCATCGTTAAATGTTAAGTATATTGATCACCCAACGTTTGTTACAACATCCCTATCAGAAGAAGTGGCACAAATAGATCATGTTACAGGAGTGAAATAAATATCACAGGGGGATGATTGGTAATTCGGAATGACAGCGATCTATATAATCGTGGGCTATTCTTATTAGAGAGTGTTTGTTTATGTTGTAGTTAGTTTGGCATCTTGCTCGCTCTTCAAACTTTTTAAGTTTCCCCTTTATTTAAATTGTGTGGTGTAAGCGGTGCCCAACTGCATGTTTTGCGTTGTTTGGTGTTGTTGACGGCGTAAATCCGTGCATATGTATAAACGTTACTCTTTATTCTATATATTTAGTTTTCTTTATTTATTCTTTTTTTTTATTTAGGTTTCACTTTGTCTCATTTTATAACACCATTTTAATGTAGATATCCTAGTCTCTAGAAAGTATTGTAGACCAACACCGTATGTTAATTAAAACTTTAAGAACTTACGTACAATGCACTCGAAATCTTCTACCCCAATATTGCAAAATGAGTTACTTGTTATTCTAGATAAAGAACGCCCAATATAACTACAATGTTTCTTTAGAAGATAAGGGAACTAGGAACCAAGGGTGATGTTTATATCAGGTAATAATTTTTATTTCCATAATTTTATTTGTTTGGTTTTAAATAAATTAATTGCTTGGTTCGCCTAATAGCAATAATACATTTAACATTTAAAATTAATTATATTGATAATTTAATTTCATAAATAATTTAATTCATTGATATAGTCATTTAAGTCGTTCAAGCGAAATTAAGTATTAAAATTTTAAAAGCCAAACATGCCAGGAGCAACGATCGATCTCGGCAGTGAAAGATAAAATTTCCAAATACTTATAATTTTACGAATGATTTTGAAGTCAGAAGTACCGTTTTAAAACATTTACCCTCTTCTTTAAATGCATAATTAAATTTTATAACTTTTTAATGAGTTATCTGTAAAGAATGATCAAAATAATAAAATAATCGAGAGAATATTTTCAAGCTTCTGCCAATAATGTATGATTTGAGTTGGCAAACATATTAAAGGAATTAGAAGTGATTGATTATGTATATGCAAAATGTAAATATTAAGTTTACAGTAACAGTAATTAACCAAACTTAATTGCAAAAATAGTTCTGGATTTTATTTACTGTTACTTTCCACAATGACAATTACTATTTTAAACATTGTTATTATAGTGTTATTATAGTTCTCTGATACACTATATAAATATAAACCTACTAATCATAAGTGTTAATCTTATAAAAAAGGAACACCCTACATTTATTGAATGTATTTGTCAGGAATTAGCTTTTGACTGGACCATTTCTGTATAAATGATAAACAATCGTATCAGCCTAGTTAGTGCTTAGTAAGTGTAAACAAGTATACCGGCTAAATTACTTTGTGGTATGTCTTTATATAGATATCTTAATCCGATTCATTGCCCTTTGATGACGATAACAAATTAACTTAATTCAAAAGTTCAAGAAAATTGTGCCCCTTGTTGCTGAGGTGTTGCCTTTAATGGTTGAGTCATAAGAGCCGCCGTTTACCCCTGTGTGATCGTAAAAGGAAAATGGATTCGATTAATTTGAGTATATGAATTTCTTAGCTCCAGCAAGTGAGGTGGTTTTGACCCCCGGTGTTGCTTTGAAGTTTTTAACACCCGATGTTAGCAGCTAAAATCACCGTTCGTGTTTCGGCGACATATCACATTTACTGTGTTGGTGCGCCGTTAAACGAATAAAAACATTAATAAAATTGTAATCGTTTACATGAGAAAAATCACTTGAACTGGACAAAGTAATGAGAAGAACATTGTTCACGTCTAACCAATAAAAATGTAGAAAGTGAAGCTGAAAGGATTGTCCAACACAACACAAAAGACAATGTTGAATCCCAGGTACGATTGAATACTTCAAATGAACTCTTTTAGAGACGGCATCTTCATTATACATTGGTAGAAATCAATTCTGAAATTAACTAAGCTAAGCAAACTAACTTTTATTTTCTAGTATATTGAAAGTTCGTTTTAGTATTTCCTATTTATTATTAACATGTCAAAGAATCGATATCCATCGGATCATTTTAAGAATGTAACATCTGGACATAGCCGTACAATTTGGGTTATTAAACTCGGATATATGCATTATACTAGAATAAAAAAAATCTGATGTTTTATTTAAGGACTTCTGAAACATTGGTCTCTCGAATTGTTTTTATTTGACTGCATGAAAAGAGGCGAATTATAAAAATATGTTACAAAGAGCTACAACCTTGCAATGTTTAATATCAATGTTTTGACGGGTTGTTAACACTGAAATGAATTATATTCTACCGTTTATTTGGCGTTGTATTTATTGTAACAGAAAATTGTGAAGATGTGCGTTTATACGTCATACGTGCCTTGCTTTTTGCTGAGATTCGTTTTATTAGTGAATTATGAAAGGAATGTCTAGATTAGAATCCGTTACTACGACAACAAGATGCAAACAGGTATTTTGCTACTAGCATCATGAAAAGATGAAAACAATGTAACTCAAAGGTAAGCCATCATCAAAGATTATTTATCTATTGTTGCCATATGTAAGCACCTGAAAGTTTCAATACAGGAGTGTTCTTTGTTAATTAATCTTATCTATTATTAGATCATCTCTGTTTCTAAAACAATGAAATGATTAGCAATTTTTGTTTTTTAGAAAAAATTCCACAACCCCAATTTATATTAATCTGAAATTCGCTAATAATATTGTATTATGGTGACCACAAGAGCAACAAATGTAAAAGCATTAAAACATGTACATACATTATAAATAATATAGTTTCAATGAGATTATCAGTCTAATCACACTGTTTAAACTGAGTGAACTATTAACGTTGGTTTCGATTGATTCATTTAAAAGACTGCAAAATACAAAATATGAAACGTCATTAAGTGTCCTTTTAGTAATGCAAGACGAGTTTTTGATGCAAAAACTATACAAGATAAAAGATAAAATTGAAGAATGTGTATAGGATCTACACTGAAGTTATTGAACGATTTGAATAAAATTAAATTGTGCAAGCATCTAGTGAATACATTTCATAATATCCATCCAATATAAAATAGAGTGAAATAAGAATTCCTAAAGAAGGCCCAACACGACACAATTGAAAATGTTGCAGGCTCGGTACTGTCAAGTGCAAACTACCGTCCACGCCCCCTAGCACCGGCTTAAGCAGAATTCAACATTTAACATGAACTGATAAAATTTAGAATTTTGAAACATCCGCAGATGTGTTCATATGGCGGTTATCATGGAACCTTCAATGTGACACGTTAGTGCCATTCCATGAAAAGCGGCATATGGTCCCCAAGTAAAAACAATGCATAGTTGACGCGCAAATATTATGACCTAACATTAAGTGTTTACACTATATGTTTATATCACACATATTATATTATGACACAGCATAAGCACGGCCCAGTCATATCGTTGTTTTTTTCTTGCATATCAGACAGGATTGTCTTGCAAGAAAAACTGTCTTATAAGACAAGTCGCGTGCTCTAAATGACGTCATTCCCGTGCACCTTTATGAATGAATTGCGTTCTTAGGATGATGGCGTTTTGCTATTATGAAAAGAAAAAGGTGATACATGAAAATATTAGTTGTCGTAATTCCTTTCTGAGATATGATTAAGTTTATGCAAAATGCAAGAAAAAGAATCAAACACCAGCTATCGTCACAGACAGTAAAATCTATTTATATGAAACTCGGCAGAGCCACGTTACCGCGGTAAACAGTTACCCTCCAGCAGCCGGTATAAGATTCTTATAAACTTATATAGCGGCATGGGTATCTTACAATCAATAATTCGAAAATAAAAAGCATTTTTAAAAACAATTATAAAGTATTTCAATGTATAAGGTTTTTACCCTTATTAAAGGTAGCAAAATGAGCTCAGGATATCAAGAGTCATTGGTCAGCTGCCAAATGTTAGCATTTCTACCTTTTCAATGAACAAGTCTCGAAAACTATCAAACTGAATTTTCAAGCTTCAATTGTTATCTTTATAACTGTGTTATTTGATAAGAACTATAAAACTTGCTCTGCGTAGCTATCTGTGTGAATGAATGAAAAACAGGCTTACGTATAGTGCAATAGTGCAAATAGATACAACAACTTGTAAAAGAGAGAAAAAAGAAAGATCATGTAAATAAAAATATTGAATATGTCGATTCAACCAATTTACTTAAATGAAAGAAAGTTAGAAAAACGAAAGACAAATCATGACAGAAAGAATAGTATACACTATAAATAGTTTCATTAACTTGTACATAGATGGATAATCAATACTTAGATAATGTCATCTTTCTTGGAATTTCGACAATGAAAATATTGAAGTGCGTTAACGAATATAGAACATTCAATTCACGAACAAATAATTATATCGTCAAATGTCAAGGAAGCATTACAAGGTCTCAATTCATTCACAGAAGTTATATTTAGTAATGTTAATAATCAAGCAGTATGATTAAAGCCATCATAACTACTATTGGATGCACTTTTAACATTATGTTGCTTTTTGTTAATACACAGCTTAACAACTTGCATTGTTATTTTGGAGCAATAATACGTTTACTGTGTACATATCTACCGTTGAGTTGGTGTATACTTGTTATGGGTGTGGCACACATAAATGGTTCTTTATCACGTTAGGAATTACAACGATATTTGTTATGCCTTGATAGAGACACTGTGCAACCTATCTTCTGCAAATGTATTTTGCACCTTTATTTAATTGATTTAGAAGATGAATTGGAGGGGAAGGGAAGAGATGTTAAGTATTTGAAGTCTTATTATTTTTCCTTCAAAATGTTATACATAAAACATACCTGATAAATAAAGTCCTTAGTGATAATTTCTGGATTAGGAAGAACATTTCTGTCCGCCGACACTGCCATTTGTATCTGGTCCCCATAGGTAAAAAAGGATATTGCAAGCGCCATCTTTTGAACTGGAGGGAACCAGTAAAATATTGTTTTGATCTGCTTTGCGGAGATACGCAGATCTACTTCCGGTCCAGGTAAAGATGATACAACACAAGTGCACTTTTCATACAAATACATCCACAGTTTAGACCACATAGACTCTGCCAACATATGATAAGATAATTTAAATATTCTTCTTCCTATAGAGAATATAGAAGCTTCTCTCACCTCATTCATTCTATCTTTCATTTGCCATAATCTCGGGACAACGCCTTCGGTGTTCGTTGGAAGAGTAACGTTTATCAACATGACGTCATTACCTATACCGGAAACATGCTTATTAGCACCGTAGTAAACTGGAATGCTTGACTGCATATCATAAGGATTTTCAACCCCGTTTAGAATTAAATAGTTCCTAATGCTGCCAGCAGCTACCGACATGAACACTTCGTTGAGCGTGCTTCTTGTCACCTGCTTTATTTTCAGAGCAGACGACAAGCTAAATGGTTCTGACCACGTTATAACTTTCTTTCCTGAGAGATGAATATGTTCACCATGTAAGAGATTAAAATCGTTTCTTTTAGATAGAAATTTACCTACAAATTTAAATGGCCCGTCTATTATAGACTTAATGTAATCACAGCAAGTTTCCCTTCCAAAATTAGGAGGAACTGTTGTTACAGAATCTACATCAGCTAAAGATTTATAAAGTATTTTCACCATAGAAACACCATCCGTGAGGCATGGGTGCATCCGGAATAACACTACAGTATCTCGGACATCTCCAAAGTCAGTTAGGACCTGTATTTCCCAAAGAGGTCGGTCGGGTACAAATGGTCTAGACGCTAAATCCGATATATAATCCTGAAGGTCCTCGAGAGACTCTATTCCTTTTGGCATTGCAAACACGTGATTGTGAATAAAAAAGTTCCGGTCTTCTTGCCAAACATAATCTGAGCATGTGTGAACTACCTTTTGTGAAAATTTAGGATACAGTCGGCATCCATCTTCACCTTTAGCTAACACTATTCTGTTGTTAATGATATTAATCACTTGAGGGACTGATAATCCATATTCAATGATGATTAAACTCTGGACTACAAGCGGGGTGTTCAATTCAGTTCTTATCCAGAATTTCTCTGTCACTGAGAGACGCTGTCCGCAGACACAACATTCGTGACTTTGAACGCTACAACACGTGCAGCAACATTTAAACGTGGTTTTTAGGAATATACAAACCGGAAACATCACAAGTAAGAAAGCTGCTAACGGACAAAATACTATGAACGCAACAAACATGTATGCAATTAAACCTAACACTTTTATCCAAGTACTTCGTATCACAGGTGTGCTAAGCCTGAAGTAAGGCGAACTCGGGAAAGTATATTTAAGACCGTGTTTACGGTATCCTTCACCTTCAAATGTTTTATACCAGCTTTTTTCTTCGGAGTCCGAAAGATCAATAGACACACTGTCTGAATTACTTTTCTTTGCTTTCAGTTTGTGTTTTGGTTTTGGCGGTAAAATTGCAGACGTATCGTTTGGTGATATGTCAGGGGAAACAGAGTTGAGGTTAACACTATTTTTTCTTACATTTTGCCCGTTAACTGGTGGACTGGAATGTCGTTTGCTTGGAACGGGTGTTGGAAAGACGGTTTTATTATCAATTACATTGTTTGTATGCGATAATTTAAGACTGGTGGGCCTGTTACCCAGACTTCCGCTTCGTTGAGGTGGTTTTTGTGCTTCGGACTTCTTAATCGCATTTTGTACAGCACGAAGCGTCTCTTTGTCAAGTTCCTTTTGCCTCTTTTTACTCCGTTTGCTCTTTTTCTTTCTATTTAGCTCGCCGACATCAATTGAGGCACAACGGCGGATGGGAATTTTGCCCGGTTTTGCATCATTCGAGGACGAATTTTTGTTTTTGATAGATTTGTCTTCTGATTTCGTTGGTGTCGTGTTTTTAGTTTTATTTTGTTTCTCTGGCGCATGATTGCTTGCATGTTTTTGACGTGCATCATCACGGTTTGGCTGTTGCTGGATTCTTTCTTTATTTGAATCGTTAGCGTTTCTATGTCGGTAATTTGCTTGGTTCACAGTTAGCGAGGACGTGGTTGAACCAGTATTTCCGCTCCTCGGTGCAGTTTTCTGAGTCTGTGTTTTGGAGCTTGCGTCGCTTTTTACAGCAGAAATTTTGATATGCGGAACGACCTGTTTCTTGCCATTATCGTTACTTTTACTCCCTGGGTGCCGTCTGCTTTCCATTAGATTTATCTCTTATTGTTCATTCTTTGTATATCCTGTAACAGAGAAAATATAAGATAAAAATATAATGGAAAATATTACGTACATATTAGCAATTTAATATATCTCTTGAGATAGCATTATATTTAATATGAGACGGAACAGTATATTGGTAAAATCATTGCCTTTTGTCATATTTTATGGAACAAGTTATTGAATTATGACTGTTTAGCTATATAATCTCTTGGAAGTTACCAGTTGCTGCTTGATTACAGTCTTACCGTTTACCTTATACATATATATACAGGTATACACGCCGATATAAAATACCAAATGACAGTGACCATTGTGGAGAAGACAAATGAAAAGGTGACTGAGCGTTCACCAAACAATGTAGCTTAGCATTTCATATTATAACACTAGCTGCATGTATATGTTAATTTATATAAAACAAATTACACACTAAATCAGAGGTTTTTGCTTTATTCTTCTGAATTCCTAGGGGAAAAGTACAAAACAATACGCTTAAATGATTGGTATAAATTAGAACTGGTTAATAAATGTCAGTCCGATGAAGTCTATGTTGAATATTGACATTTATGTTAATGGCAACCGTATTTTCTAGATAATTATCCCTTCCATAAACATGATTTATTAATGAGCATCCAATCTTAATCATACAGAAAGCTCTTAGGCCTGATGTTGAAGGCATATAATTTAATATATAGGTGTTACACGTCAAATAAAATAGCATCAGCAAACCTTAAAGTAAAATATTAGCGTGAGAATTATAAAATATTTAATTTGTGCTGCGTTTAACGAAAATATTCGTAAAAATGTGTACGTTTGTTAACAATTGTTGCACACTCATCATTATTATCATTATAGATATGTTATAATTTGTGTAACTATTTCCTTTACATTTCTTTTTTAAAAACCAAGCGAATGCTTGTCAACAACAACAACAACAAAACATTAATTTTTTTAAGTTCGGGTGCAACGTACATGTAATCACGATATCAATGTTTCAATTAAGATTTTAGAAATATAATGCATCTAATTGCCCGCTTATAAAAAAGAAGCGCCACATGACGTCAACGATGTTTGTCAAAAAAGAGATAAAGATAAAGATGATATTTGAGCCGCGTCACGACAAAACCAACGTAATGCGTTTGCGACCAGCATGGATCCAGACCAGCCTGCGCATCCGCGCAGTCTGATCAGGATCCATGCTGTTCGCTTATAAACCCTATAACAAGTAGAGAAACGGATGCGCAGGCTGGTCTGGATTCATGCTGGTCGCAAACGCATTACGTTGGTTTTGTCGTCACGCGGCTCATTTAATTATGACATTATGTGCATTTACATAGTAAATCATTAACAATCTTTATCATATACAATCTACCGGCACCATCTTGGAGGTCAAATATTTTCCCAAGAAAAAAAAAACAGGCATCTGTCAGTTTATATTTCATTGTAGTTTGTTGTTGCCTGTTTTGCACGATTTTCACATGTTTAACGTTTGTTTTTGGCAATATTTTATACACGTTTGGAGGAATATTGTAATTATTTTAGGCAGTGGTTGGTCTTTTTACTATTATTTCGATAGTGTATATATTATTGTGCTATTTTTTTACTCAAAATTCTAACCATTAAATAGATAATTGAAAAAAAAACATATGATTAACAACATGTATTTTGATACATGTTTTTATCGTTTGCTCATTTGGTATCTTATACTATATTCATTAGCACCACGTTCGTGTTATGTCATGGAACATTTATTCAATGTATAGTCGCATACTAGTACTTCCATTCACATATATATGTGACCTTTTGCTTTTATATGATATGTACGCATTGAATTGTTTTGGTTTAAGATTAAGCAAGTGTCACTTTTCAAACACATTAACTTCATTTACAATATTTAGAAGGGCTTTGATGCAACGGGCTATTTACATAGTCTAAATTCATATACAAAACTATATAAACATTCTTTACTTTAGCATCATATTTAACAACCTTCGAACTCTCAAAACACGTGTGTAATCAATCAATTTTGTTCAACAGGTTGATAAACAGACATCTTATGTTCGTAACAGGTTTATCCAGGAAAATCTCATAGTTAAGGAAAGAAATGATGTTATTTAGGTTTGTTGTTGTTGTTGTTGCTGCTGCTGCCTCTGCTGCAGATATTGTTGTTGTTGTTGTTATTTATTCAACGGTATATGGTATATCATACAAATGCTTTTGAATTAAACTTTGATAATATACTGTTCATATAGAAACAATAAAATTTATTGCGGCAGCCATCTTGGATTTCAAAATGGCGGAAAATTTCCTATGTTTTATACACTGTATTATAATTAAAGTAAACACGCACAAGAACGTATTTTACTAGGCATGTTTTCTTTTATTAGAAGTGCAGTAATACTAATTAAGACTTCCAAAGGAAGAATTTGAAAAACATCCATTAAAACTACAAACTTAATAGTGCAATAAAGGTCACAATTTATACCCTAATACAACGTAAATGAGAGTCATATTCGCGTTCACTTTTGTCATTTAGATGTTTTTATACTTCTAAGAATACAATGCATGTTTTTTAAATTATTGCGATGTTTCTTAGAACTATCGTCCTGAGGGGGGACCTGCTCAAATATCTGTCCGTCTGTCTATCTGTCCGAGCGTCCTCCTGTGTCAGTTAGGGATATTTGCGATCACAATTTGGCTTTAAGATTAATGCCGTATACCCCCGACCTATAGGATGAATCATTGATTATGGGAGGCAAAAGGCTGCTTTTGGAGTAAGGAACTAACATGAAGATAACAGACATCTTCAGAAATCTCCCAGTAAGAGCTTGTCCCTGTCAGTCCGTTTTTAATCCCGTCCATATCTATCATTTTTGGATAGATTTTGAAATAATTGCATTAATGTGTGGCACATTGATACAATGTCATAAGAAAGACTCAGGTGTGAAGCTCAACTCCTCAAGTAAGACTTGAAAGTGCTTGAATAAAGATGTGCATTTTAGTATTCTGTCATTTAGAGATGAATTTTGAAATAGTAAAAAATTCTGGAAACAAAGTGATCCCTCGGAAGCATCAATCACAACAAAATAACATAAGAATTGCAGACTCGGTTTGATTGAGTCTGTACATGAGTGATAATGAATAAGTGCAACATCACTCACGCCCCCTAACGGGTTTGGAAATGATATACTTTATATTATTACTTAATCTTCAAACAGGGATACCATGAAAATTGTTTGTTTATTGCTTATGTCAATGTCAATTGCGCAAGAACATGTACTTGGACGTGTAATGCTTGAGAGCCAATTCAACAGTCCAAAGATCAGGGTCATGTCTATCAAGAAAGGCAATTTTGTAAAAGTTCATAAGTGGGGAACCCGGTCAACAATTTTTCATGCACGACCTGATATTTAAAAAAAGTCTTAGTATTTCCAAAAGTAATATAGGAATCGCCATCCAGGCTAGCATTAGAAAAATATTTTTTTTAATGAAATAGACTACTTTCCTGAATAATAGAGTTAAAGTTTCTTCTTGTAAGAGAAATATTCCATATGGTGTTTATCCCATAGAAGCCTCTACATACTAGTGCCGAGCTTCGTGCATGAGGATAGTATTTCATTTGCTTACATGTAACCCGACAAGAACATGGTGGTTGAGGCCCCTGTGTTAGGACTTTTTTCGTCTATTTTGTTATCATGTCATATTAAATTATCTGTTTTGATTGGCCTAGAGCAGGCGGAGTTCGGGTAAAATTATTTAAATCTTGTTAATTGTATAGGCCGCCGTCCTGGAACGACAATAACTTTGCGCAAATGTGTAATTTGAAAAAGGTCGTGTCATGCACGAGCAGCAAGCAGGGTTATGTCTACAGTTAAACTTCTATATCATGATATAAACGTAACAAGATGTTTGTGTCCGATCTATAACTTTCTCATTAATTGATGCCTTTTGAAATAATTCATAAATAATAAAAAAATGCATAAATATATGGCACATTGGGACAATGAGTCACATGTAAAACCCAGCTGATGATGTAAATCAAAGACCAAAATCATACTTTCCCTTCGAACAAAATATTTCCTTAAAGTCTCTAAAAAGTCTGGTTAACGATTTTGTCATTCATGGATGAATTAAAAATCATTTTTGGATAAATATGGCGCCTCTTTATAAGACGACATGTAGTAGACAAAAGTTCCAAGGTCACAATTGCATTTCAAAAGTCATGATATGAGAGTGCATTTGTGGCCATGTCCAGTCCATATATGTGTTATTCAGCGGGAGCTAAGAATAAATACGTGGTACTTTGAAACAATTTGTCTTGAGTGAGAAAAGAATTATCGCATAAAGTAAGATTTCAGACATTAAAGGTCATATTTCATTTCATATAAATATTTTGAAGGTCATGTCCGGTCATGAATTCTGTCATTCAATGGATGGATATTGGCGTAACTAGGCATAAATTTGTGGCAAATTAGGACTACTTGTAATGCTTAAACACTAGGTTGATAGCTAGATAGGTCAATTTAGAACATTGATGGTTGTGTCTATATCTTTGTCATTTATTCATGGATGCTTTTTAAAATAATAAGAAATACTGATGATATAAATAAAAGCTTCTTAATGTTTCTAATGTTTGTAAAACTTGTAAGACTACAGTGACCATGCCTTCAATGTAAAAAATGGAAATTAAAGAAGATTAACACAGAAAAGTGACATTTAATAAACGCAGCCCCAACACAACCCAGCAACAAAGGTAATGGATCCTTAACTGAGCCGAGCTTCGGAGACCTTTCAAGTGGCATGCCCTTGTTTATCTTTGTTTTACATAATTGTCAGGGTAGTCCAAAAATAGTTGGTACAAATTTTAGTGACTCAAATAACACTAAGAAATACCAAAGTAATTTTATGAGGTGAAAATTGAAAAAAATATGAGATAAAATGATATCAAAAATATGTTATATCATAATGAAATAAGATACTCATCAATTTCTTGAAAGATAACCAAGAACAGAATAAGTATGAAGATTTGAATATATCTTAGTCACTTGAATGATTTTAAAACATGAGATTGAATAAGGTGCAGCATCCTTGGCAAAGTGACATAATTATAATGTAGACGTTGATATAAACTAAGACAATGAATAAATACCAATGAATTAAGACAAAACGGAAAAACTCGTATTATCAGTTAAGTAAATAAAATTTAAAGACATAGGCTTCGACGGCATATATTTTACATAATTTAGTAGCAAAATAAAACAAAATGCTCTATCAAGTCATTCTGTGTTAATAAAAAAGTGTAAACAGCAGTGAATCGTCAATATATTAATTGCAGAATTGGTATCAATTAACTGTCTAATCTTTTATGCATGTACTATCATCAAATACCCGCGGTAGACCTATAATGTTTTACTCTATATTATTCATTAACCGTAAGACAGTGCAAGCTCGTAGACTGTTAATGGTTTATGTTTGCGAGACTTTTTCAAGGTGAAAGATAATAAAGATTAAAATGACTCTATTACCATTTATTTGAGTTTATTTCAATTAATAAATAGATGATCTGTTTTTAACCATGTCTAGGCATGTTGAAAGTTTGATTGATAAATACGACCCTATATAAAGTAGCTATATCAATACAACAATAAAAAGTATCGTATAAACACATCTGCGGATGTTTCTAAATTTCAAATCTCACAATTTCCCCCTTTGATATATGAATTTTGCGTAGGCCGGTGTTAGGGTGCTTGGACGGTATTTTGCAATTTCCAGTAACGTCCATGTACAGGCTCAATCAAATCGAGCCTAAATCGTTTTCAATTTTGCCGTTTTGATCGCTGTTTTGGGATTCTGTTGTTGTTGTTGTTTTTTCTATTTGAAATCGGGTCGTACAAAAGATATTGTTGCAAAGACATGCGGGCTCAAAGACATAGTCGCTGACCTGTGAAGATGACAGGCAATTTTTAAATATTTACATACTGACCTTGACTCCTTGCATTCAAATTATAAAATGATCTAGTGTACATAAAGGTTTACACAAATGCTATTCTATCAAAATACAGATTACTTAAACATGTAATGGTAAATTAAAATGTGCAGGTTTTATGTAAGACATTTTGGATCTCAGATACCTGATATAGATTAATTGTCCAAAAAGAATGACCTGTGATAGTTTGAAGTAATGATGTAAATTAAAGTGTGCAGTATATCTACACAGTGTGTACATTTCGACATGACATGTTGCTCATATCGATACTCATTCCTACAGAAGGATCCATTTGTTTAAAAGCACTTTACTTATATTTATTAAAAAGGTGTCCATTTTAAAATCAAAGATGGCCGGCATAGCAGACAATGTGTAAAGCATGTATAATTATCAGCCAATTTTTCTTTAAAGTAATTGAAACTTTATTCCATGTAGATTAACGGAAATACGATACGATATGTACCAGAAAAAAATAATTGTTTAAGTAGATTGTGAAGGACAATGGTGGCCATTTTGATTTGACCTTTTGAAGGTCAAGGACTTCAAGTACAGCCGTGGTAGAGCAAAAAATGGATTCAGCGTACCCGAATTATGTAAAAACGATTGACTACCTACTTGTACTAAAAAATGCCGTAAGACTCTTAACGGAGGGTCTTTTCTGAAAATCAAACCCGTCTATATCACTTTATAAAGAGCATTTATCCAAAATGTCTTGCAAAGTAAATGGGTTTTTATTGATAAGGAAGTTTCTGGAACACTTATATACATTACTAATCATTTACATAGATAAACGTATACTTGTTGTAAATTGATTCTTGTATAAGTTAATGAGTTCTCTGTTATCGTTATATCAAATGATGTCCCTTGTTTTTAATGTAATATAATCATAATTTACTTCAGTATATAACACACTTCAATGTATAAAATGGTCGTATTGTTTGACGGTTTCTACGAATTTATTGTTATATGCGTTTTCAGTTTTTATACTTGTAACCTGCTATATTACCTGTAATTAAACTCATTCCAGAAATGTTTAATATGCGAACTTTTAATTAATACTTAAATAGACTCGTTTAATGTAAGATTATAATTATGGCATAACAAGTGCAAGATTTTATTCAGTATACTTTATACAAAGACTCGTTAAAGTACGTTTTACATGAAATGACAACTGTTAGTTTCTATAAATGTAATACATAGACTCGTTTAAAGTACGTTTTACATAAAATGACAACTGTTAGTTTCTATACATGTAATACATAGACTCGTTTAAAGTACGTTTTACATAAAATGATAACTGTTAGTTTCTACAAATGTAATACATAGACTCATTTAAAGTGCGGTTTACATGAAATGGCAACTGTTTGGTTCTATACATGTTATACATACACTCATTTAAAGTGCATTTTATATAGAGTAATAACTGTAAGATAATGTTATACTTTATAAATAGACTTGTTTAAAGTATGATTTATAGGAAATGACAAGTGTTAGTATATTTTATACATAGACTTATGTGAAGTACGCTTTATATGAAATAACAACTGTAAGATTCTATTAATTTTATACTTTATACATATACTTGTTTTATCTGTCATAAAATAACAAATGTTTAATTTTATAAATGTTATACTTCTACATGGGTTTGTTTTAATTACCTTTAATTTGAAGTAGATTCCACACAAATTGTTCTTTATACTATTGAATAAACTATTTTCCATTTAGCCATCGAAACAAGGCATTCTATTATAAATTGTGCTTCATATAATATCAGTGTTTTTTCTGATAACATTACAATATGTTCTTTCATCTGTTATTCAATTCCTAACAATGTATCAATTATTAATGTTTTATGTGTATACATTGCAGGGTAATTACTTTATCTTTCTATTGTGATAGTGAGTTTCCACCAGCACACCTGTATCTAACAGTATAAACATTACAAAAAGAAAAAGAAGAAAAAAAGAGAAAAACAAACGAAAAATAAAAAGCAAAACAAAATAAAATGAATAATTGCGGAAGGTCTCCCACTAAACTGATTTCAAGTAGCCGAAAACATTATGACTTGATATTCGGATATTCTTTTTTGATTTAACAACAACAACAACAACAAAATGCAAAAACATTTTAAAACAAAACAAAAGTTCTTTTAAGTGATAAAATTGTATAAATTCTATATTATATATAAAATTGTAGCAGTTAGTGAAACCGCACCCTGCTGAACCCGAAAGTTTTTAGCCCTTGCCACTAGTCTGACCAGGTTTCATTCTGTTACTTTTAAAACTAAGTTTTTCATTTATAAAAGTATATATACAATCCATAATATATATAAAATGACAGCAGTTCGTTAACTCTCACCCTGCTGAACCCGAAAGTTTCTAGCCCTTGCTTCAACTCCGACCAGGCCCTATACTGATCGAAGACTAACTTTGATTTTTTTTATTTATATCTCCAAACTTGATAATTGGCAGTTTTAAAAAAGTATATTTAATGAATTCAGCAATCTGTGAGTTATTTCAATAATTATACATATATACATAGCTAGATATCTGCTCAATGGGATGATTTATGAAGATATGATACTATACATAGAATATCTGGCAAGGAGTAGCAGCTAGCAATATGAGCACCAGAAACCTACCTGTAGAATCGTGTAAACCTAATATATTCTCACATCAGAAAATAATCAGGAGGTCGGAAATGATTATCATTTTAGATAGGTTTGTAGGAACGTTTTACCTGGTTGCAACGTTTTATAATTACTTGAGTTAATAACCTCCATCTGTATATATGAGGCGGCTATAATTAGGCTAGTATTGCGAGGTATTGAGGAGAGATTGTATATAAAAATGTATGCTTATAAATAGGATAGAATGCTTCTTATGTAATGCTTACAAAAGCGGTTTACATTTAGTTTGAGTCTGTTTTGTAGTTTAAAAAATAAATGGTAAAGTATTATTGAAGTTGTTTCATCTAAAAGAACGCAGGTGTGCTATGCAACCGTCGGGTTAATGAATAAACCAGGTATATTAATCTGGTTACAAAGCTATCATATTTTTATTACTTTGACCTTTTCAGATATTTTGTTGCAATTAAAGTTTGCTATTATGAAACGCACAGAAAATATGACATTTAAAGTCATTAGATAAAACAGAAAGTGTCTATTCCATTACCTTTACGCATGCAAACCTATAAACAAATCTATGTTTGAAGGTGACTTACAAATGTAACAGCTAAGTGTTTTCACATGCACGTTATATATTACAGCTTGTTTTTATCATTAGCACATGCTACTCGTACTTACCAGTGTTTATATTTTTGTAGTCATTTAGAAATCCTGTTTTATAATTTAACTCCGAACTTTAAACCTTTATATTTTTTATCTGAATGTCATACTTGTTCACTACCACACTCGACACACTCCGGCAAAATTAGCTTTTATTTAATTTGGAATTTAGCATTGTGTAGCGATTCCCTATGCCAATTTTCAGACACTTTCGTCTCATTACATCTAATATTTCATTGAATTGTAATAAATCTTTCCAAATTATTTATCCCAGATCGATAGCACGGCACGTCTCCTAATACAAGAAAAGTATAACCATCAAAGTGACAGATCCTGCAAATCGCTCCCGCTGTATGAACAGTTATATTTCCCAATCGTATAACAAATATTTATATAATATCTCCGGCGATGATGTTAGTTGTTTCTATTGTAGAGTCGATACGAAGTTTACAACAACCGGAAAAAAAACATCTGGCGGCGCTAGAACTCTGTATAGATCTATAGACAAAAACTTCTTACTAAACAACGCCTGTTATATAAATCATGTGTTCTCGTGCGGTAGTTTTGGTCCTGTAACGGTTCCTGGTAATCGATTTTTTTTATTCAAACATTCTTTGAAAATTCACTCTAATAGACTAAATACGATGGGAATTGAACGAGACGATATACAAATGGAGCTTGTCAATAATGCTGTTATAATTTTACGGACCATTAATATTAAACTTTCATTTCAGCCAAAGTCTGCGATTTGTATGATAATAGGTTAAGTTGTTACAGTGTTATACGTATTTAGATAAGTTCTGGTGTAAATATCCTGGTTTAAAACGAATGAAATGGAAATTAACGAAACGGGGAGGGGGGGGGGGTATTTTTTGTACAAAGTTAATTCATTAATAATTGTCTGACCGTATTGTGAAAAGATATAAATGATCCAGCTCTTTACAAGTAGAAAAATAAATTTTAATGAGCAAAATTGTTTCTTAAATAGTGTTTTGCATGTGACAGATTTTTGCCTAGTTTCAATACTTTCAAAAGAATTATAAGTTATTGTTTGGTATCTCCTATTTGAATATATTCTAGCGTTGTAATTCCAACTGTCTTACTTTTTAAAGAAGTTTTTTCCCTCACATTTTACAACATTAAAAGATTTATACCATTTTTTTATTTTCACACCGCAACACGGAAAGATGCAAAGGACACCAAACAAATGCTATAGTTTTCGGTTATTGATTGATATCCTTAGCGTACGACAATTATATACCTTATAGCTGTCAGCAATTCTGTTTCACGACAATTCTAAATCATTATATAATTGTTCTATGGGTTATACCAGTTCATATGCTATCTTAACAACTTGTATATTCAAAGTATGAATGAAATATTTACACACACACGTGTATAATATCCGCTGATAGAGAAATAAACACCTGTATTATGATAAGACATTATTATCCATGCAGCAATTTTATATGAGCCATATTGTATATGAACGTGCATAATAGCTGCAGAGAAATTTAAGCCCCAGGTGGCGTTATTTTAAGCTACTCACTCGCAAAATTTCAATGAACTTTATTCTACATTTTGTTCGTTAAGCCCAACTTGGTTTTTCTTGTCATGCACCAAATCCTATAAATTCGGCGGCAAAATGGAACGTATTCTTACAACGATGAAAAATGGAGACCAATATATTTTTGTTAATAATTTTAGTATATCAAACTAAACTTTTTTTCATCTCCTTGTATGAGTCTGTTTTAACCACTCTTCACTGTGGTAGATGCATGATAGTCATAAATTGTTACAATTATTTATACCAGACGTTAAAGTATGTCAAAAATCCCTGAAAATTATACTTTATACAGAAACATGTAACTGTTAATTTACGTTTAATATAAGTAACGTCATGTTATAAACGTACATCTAAAGGTTAAAATTCTGAGTTAAACCCCGGGAACATTGTCATTTTTCACAAATGTAAGACTGTTAATTCATTTGTATACCAATTGAGTATTTTCAGCCGTACGATAAATGTCTAGATTTAGTACTAGCAAATCAGTGCAATTAATGTTGTGCATAAAAACAGACATGCCAATTAACTTATAACTTTTCCGATAGCAAGATCTACGTTGATACATCATATATGGTATTTATTTGAAATTTAAATTGTGTTACAGTGACATTTGTGTGTGCATCATTTACAGGGGTAAGCCGATATTTTAAAAGTAATTTCTCACATTTAAACAATTACGATTATTTCCCACTGTTTTACTGAAATAATTCTCTCAGCTTTTTTTTTGCGAATAACACAATGCTTCTATTCTTGTCTTATAAGTTTCCTACCAAAAAAGCCCGAACTGAATTTAATAAAAGACAATCTCATCCATGTTTCCAATATGCCCGGCTCTCTTTAGAAGTTTTAAGAATCCATTATTGATTTGCTACAGTCAGCAATAAAATATGTAAACTACAAGAATAGCTGGAAGATACAAGAGGGGAATTGGATAATTTACGGCATCTTAAGATGGTAAATTTAACTAATCTGCTTCCAAAGCCGCTATATACAAGACATGTGCAGAATTTATACCTTAAAAGATGCCGCATTTGTTCTGATGTCTTAATGCTTGAGAAAACAAATACAATGGTGTTTTAAGCAGTATAAGCGAATTGATATGCGTACATATGTGGCTAATTAAATGGACTTATAGAGGGAATGGATGGGGTACATTTTATTTACATTAATTAAGGCAAATGTTGTATTGTTTATAAAATTTTCTAATAACACATCATACTTCTTAAGTACATTTGTTGAAGAAAACCTGTACAATTTTAAGTTAAGATTCATAAAACTTACGGTTTTCATTTTACGGTACACTGCTTTTGAAGTGCCCATCTCACGACCAAACATAAGACCTCCCGCAGCCAAACGTTGACAATAAATGTATCTGATAGACCTTTATATCTTATCTTGATATACCTTCATTTCTTATCTCAGAACTTTCAAAGAATAAATAAATTAGAGGAGGAATGTAGTGGCATAAGTAACACCTTTTTTGAAGTAGACATGAAACACTTACTAACATACATTTTCTCTGAAAGATTCATCAGGAACATTTGGTATAATTTTGAAACATTGCAGGCGTTACATATTTAATTGAGACTGGCGTATTAATAATAGTTGATTACCTGGGCTTCATTAAGAGCTTGTTGTGTTTTTTTCCCCTTCTATCTATGTATCCAGGACGAATGTTTGGCGTGTGAACAAGTAACTATAGCAACCAGACGCCATTATTCGGATAACGTTAATCAAGAAATATTGCAAAGTTGTCGGTGCACAGCGGTTTAGTTACATTGTGTTTTCTTGAGTTATTACAGAGCATTTCAAAATCGGTTAATACATCAATCTATTTTTATGATATTTATGCGCTAAAAATATTACCTTGATATTTCCTTAAGAGCTTTCTAAATTCTCACAGTATCATATATTTTAATGCCAAAATACTTTAGATAAAACCAAACACTCTGTGATAAGAAACCATCCTAAAATATATGAGAATATACTCGATGCAGCCTTCAACTGATTTATACACACAAACCATTCTATGCCAAATGCACGCAACAATATTCAAGGTTGTATCATTTCAATTATTAATTTATTCATATGTTATTGTATTGTTTATATTCAGTCAAAACAAATAAAATCCTGCATCATGTATCATTTTATTTATTAGTTTATTACATGTAATTATATTGATTGATATTTCTTCAAATCTTCGTTAATTTAGATTTAGTGATTTTTATTGTTTTTCTTATTGTATTTGTTGTTGTTGTTGTTGTTCTTGTTGTAATATTCGTTAGACCTAAAACATATCACATTGAAACAAGCCCGATACATACGTTACATGAGCATACAATGCAAAAACGGACGGACTGATATTGCAACTTTTATATAATAAAAAGCAATGATTTGCTTACACATCACCTTTGACATTTTTATAAGAAAACTGCTAATAGCCAAGTCAATAAATGTGTTTTTGCCACTTTTTCGTTACTTTCCAAATCATACAGAAACTACAATGGATAAATAAATATCACCCTTATAGAGAATATACGCTAAGCCTATGTCATTTTCACCTTTGAATAAATTAATATCACCGACATCGGGAATATTCCGCCGGAGACATTTCTATTTATCCCCCATATGTATTTTTGGCGTAACAAGATATTAACACATGGTTGGCGGGCTGTCGAATATTGCCTTGACCTTCCATATATACCAGTTGCCAATGCTAATATAAACCATGCAAATCTTTTCCATGTGAAATAAATCTAAACTGTTGTGTATTTTTTATCGTACTGCAAATCTAAAGGAAAGGATTTCTATATTAAAACATCATATGGTAGTCGCCGATATTTGTTACAAGTGGCGAAGATAGATGTATTGATAAACACCAATACAAATAATTGATAAAGTATTGTTTGCCTTTGATTAAACGATAATAAAGTTTATTTTGTATTATACTAATTCTAAACATGTTGCTGCAGCACACCTGCTTCTGAATGGAAATCTCAGACCTCAAGTACTTTGAATAGCTGTTATTTCTAGCCGGAAATGCACTTAAAGTGCAAATACTAGTAAAAAGGAAGCGTACAGCTTAGACGAACATTTTCTCCTAATGATAGCGTCTTAAGTAGATCTACGTAAGGTTTCACCTCCCGTACGAAGTTGGGCCTGAAGAGTTGGCATTAGATTTCTTTCGATGAGCTTGTCTTCCCCGTAGAATATTTCTATTTTAAAAATAGAAAAACAGGTATAAGGGATATAAAGTCCTTTTAAGTTAAGTTTATGTCACTATAACGAAATACATTTAAATCTCTGTCCGAGATTAAATTATTTTCATTTGACTTGAAACATCTTACATCCTTTTTGTCACCATTGAAATATACAAGCATCTACATTACAATCTGCATTTCTTTGAAGCAAGGGACGCAAATCTTACATTATGTCGATTGAAAAAATATACACTTACTTTCCCACGGGGTCAACTAAAAACGTTATGTGCTGGACTTTTGATACAATATAGAAGTTATAAAATAATGACAATATGATAAAATGTAATATGTAATTGTCATAAAATCTTTGCGAATGAATTAGAATTATCTTTCTGCTGTACATGATAATTGGGAAAATACAGGGAAAGTACCGCTTCTCTATTTGCGCAATTCGTATAATTTATATATGGTACACGTCATATGCTTTGTTATTTATCATATTCACTGATGAAGCTAGGTAAAGGATAACATTTCTTGATAAATTGGGCTGGTTCATGATTTTTGTTTAATCATTTAATTTATAAGAATTCATAATAAATCAATTCTAATAAACAGCAATGTACATGTATGTTTTACCTTACATGAATGTGTTCTTTCTTTATTATTTTTTAAATTAATTAATTAATTTATTTATTTATTTATAAATCAAATTTTGGCGGGCCTTAAAATATTATAATTTTTGCGATGACGACAGTGGCCCAAAGAAAAAATGATAGTGACCGCATGTGCAAGCACTATTAGGTTTTTGCCGGACCCCTAATATTAAGCGACGTATAACCGCTAGAAATATTTTAAAAAACGCGCAATATGCGAGTACATGCTGACTAAAAGCAATATTCAATACATTTTACTAGAAATTTTGTAATTCAA